ACCAAAAGGACATCTGCCCACAGACTGCCTGCTAGCCTTGGGCGGACACCCCGTTACTGGTCCTGGGAGCCAAGGCTAGCTGTCTTCAGTTGTACAGTCCCCACCCCCTTTCTGCCTGTGGTTTTTGTCTTTAGGACCTGAGACTGCGAGACTGCAATGAGCATGTTCCGGGCGAGCTGAATAATGCTCAAGGGGTGCCTGCACCTGCAGCCCTCCTGGTCTGGCTGAGAGCCTCTTCCCACAGTTTACAGCGTTTGGTTTCTGTTGACAAAGATAGAGTGGGAGGGGACCATGGCATGACAAGATTCTGGCAAGGGTCCCTCACTCTTAAAACATCAGTTATTTAAGCAATTAAAAAAAAAAAAACCCTGTCAGGCCAGCAGATGGCATGGTGGTAAAGACACTGGATCCCACATGGCTGGCTGCATGGTTCAAGTCCCAGACCTGGCAGCTTGAAAAACACGTGTGTGTGTGTGTGTGTGTGTGTGTGTGCCCAAAATCCCAAAAGGAGAACAGCTACTGTGGCATGGCCATCCTCCTGGGAAATGATTTCTCACTTTCTCTGTATCTGTCTCTCTTTGGTAAGTGCACACACCCTTAGGCCAAAAATCTAAAAACCTTCCCCTCCGTGGGTCTGCCGTGCCTTGGTCCTTCCTCCTTTCTGGAGCCCCCTCCTAGCAGTTCTGCCGGGAAGCCGTGGACGGTGATGCTCTGGTTCCCACATGTGGACACACCCCTCAGCTCCCGGCCACAGCCACACTGGCCCCCGGAAGGCCCGTCCTGTCTCTGCTTCTTTATACCCTGGTGTCCCCATAACCCTCCCCAACCTCTAAGCAGCTACTCTAATTTAGCCAGGTCCCATTTGGGGTAAGCGTGCTTTTTATTTTGTAATAATTTAGGCACAGAAAGTGCGAAGACAGCACGGAAGGCTGTGGCCGACCCCGCCGAGCTGCCCGGCCGCTCTCACGTAACCATGGCTCCGTGACGAGTGTGTGTTTAAATTGTATTGCTCTAGATCTCAGTCCGCCTTGCACTTTTTTCCACTAGGCATTTCTAAAAGCTGCACCTGGACTGCTCTGTGTGCATCTGAGCTGTTATTTTTCTTGATATGGTTTATTTTAATAAAAACACAGCCAAACATACAGCACAGGTCACACGAAGCTGCACACGGTGCTCCTGTGCACAGCGGCTGACAGCGATGTGCATCCTCGAATTTCATATTTTTGATTCAGCTTTACTGAGGGACAATTATGCTCCATGACGTGTTTGCGGAGTTCTGCCAAATGCGTGGGCGTGCAGCTCTGCGTCAGACTCACGTAATGGCACAGGCAGTGGCACACAGACCTGTCCCGCTGTCCCCCGGGGCCTCGCATGCAGCCCCTCTCTAGTCAAACCCTCCTCAGCCTTTGCTCCTCACCCCTGCACTCAGCTCTTCCAGAATGCCCTATATTACTAAGCAGAATCACGCCTCCCGAGACGTCGCCTCGGCTGCAGGAGATTGCTGTGGGACTCCCCTGCAGGTGTGCTCTGACCCTGCACCTCTGCCTCACACAGGTGCTGTCAGTGACCTAGCCCCCCGCTGGAGGACATGCGCGTGTTTGGCGGTTTGGGAAACAGCATTTATGTTTGAGTTTGTGCAGAAACGTCATTTCTCATGGGTAAATTCTAAGTGGAATTGTGAGATTGTGTGGTAGGTGTCTCACTGTAAAAGCTGCCAGACCATTTCCGGAGTGGTCGCACCCTCCTGCCTCCACCAGCGCTGGGGTACGGTGTGTGAACTCCGCATGCTCTGCAGGCCCAGCCCGGCTATCACCAGCAGCCTTCCTTGGCTGTCTGTCGGCTGCGTTTCTTGTAGAGCAAAGGCGAGAGGTGAGACTGTGCTGAAGGCCAGCTGCCTATGTCTGCGGTCTACTCTCTCCACCAGCTTTTGTTTTCTTCCACCTGGACCACCTTGTCCTGACGCCCACTACTTCTGTCTTCTGTTTCCCTGTTGTGTTCCCGTTTTCCATTTGTTCTATCATGTCTTTGAACATGGTTTCAAAGTGGCTCTAAAGTCTTTGCTTGATAACCCAACAGCTGTGGTATTTCTTGGTGGCATCTGTTGGATATCTTTTCTCTTAGGATCGTTGAGAGATTTTTCTGGTTTTTCAGCTGTCTAGTAATTTCAGATTACATCCTGGACACTGTGGTATTTTGCACTGAGTCTCCGGTCCTGCCTGAATCCCAAGAAGAATGTGTGCTTCCACAGGCCGCTGTCTGACAGTGCCCAGTCAATGTGCTCGGGCGTCTTGGGTACTCTGCTGGAGTCCAGCTCGCAATCTGTGTCAGTCCTGGCGCGGGTGAACATCAGGTGGAGAGCCCCAGCACCCAGAAGTAGTGTGGACCCCTCTCCTTCGCCAGTCACGGAGTTACCTAGAACCTGCCGAGAAGTGGCAGGGAGGCTTTCGTCTTAGTCTGTCAACCTCCAGCTGTGGGGTTTGGAGAGAGATGGGTGAGTAGAAGCCCAGGTGTCATCGGCGGGGGGGGGATTATTTCCATCAAGATGAGATTTTCCAAGTTCATCTGAGAAGCGCTCTGGCCCCCCGTTACCCAGGAACCCTGCATCAGTGCCTGGACTGCTGCCCATTTCTTCAGTGAAGAGACAGACACTGAGCACACCATGTGAACAGCGGGTGGGAGCCATGACAGAGCAGACCTTACGAAGCTCTCCATCGACCCACCCTCCCCCATCACCCCACACACCCCACCATTTACCAGTTCAGTCTCCCCAGCAGTTTAGCACTCTGACACCGCTTCCTGAAATCCCTGCCTCCGCTTGCTTCTCCAGTTTCTCCAGGCCCATCTGGCAGCAGCAAGGCGGGAGAAGTGCTAGTGGCCAGCATGACCCCAGGTGGGGGATCTGAAAATGGGTTTACTTCACCCATAAATAACTAACTTGGGAGTTAGCTTTGTGGGTTTACGATACTAGGAGCAGCGTAACGTACCCACTCTCCCAACGTCCATCGCTGTGCTCAGAAGCCTACTGTCGGCGTGTGGTGCCCAGATGGGATCTGTTCCGTGTCCCACATGGAACAGCTTACATGTGGCTGTTTACTTCTGTTATTGGGTTGTCAGGAAAGTCATGACATGTTTTTTTTTTCTATGCAAAAATGTGTCATGACTTTTCAGACAACCCATTAGCTATGTGCTGGGCTTCCCTGTAACTGTGGGTTCATGGCTTTTAGCAATTTGGAAGAACTTCTAGTAATTTCATATCAAGTCTTCAGGCCACGAATTCTCTCTTCAGCCATGTGAAGTATGCTAACCATGGAGATTTCAGAGGTACGCTTCTCCTACCTAGAAATGCTATTTGAATCTTTTTCAAGTCTTCCTCATCATAACCTTGTTTATATTTTGGTTGCCTTTTATTTTAAATATTTCATACATAATTATACTGTGTGTGGTGTGTGTGTGTGTGCTTTCTACCAGAGAACATGTGCACATGCATGAGAGAGAGAGAGCATCCCCAATCGGGCCTGGTCACACCGCAATCCTTTTCCCTCTACTTCTCTACCCTGTCAGGAGGGGTGTGTGCACACATGCGTATGTGGCCAGCATGTTTTTCAAGCCACTGGGACCAGGATTTAAGCCGTGTAGGATCTGGCTCCCTCTCACAGCAACTTACTGCTGTTTCGGGCCTGCCTACAGGCTGCCTGTTCATTCTGGTATGAAGCTCCTGGAGCCTAAACGAAGGGATTTCTCGGCCAACTCTTCCTCATAAGCTACTTCCGCAGTCAGTAAGCTTCCAAGGAAGCTCACACCTGGTCCCAGCCCATGTCTGCACTTCCCGCCACCGTCTTCCAGAGCAGCCCTTACTCACTTCTACTGGGATTAGTGGGACCACCGTGTGGTGCTTGCGCCAGCCCACAGCTGCTGCCCAGGCTGGACACACGGGTCTCCTGACTGCCTGCCCTGCTTCTGCACTGGGCAAGGGGCTGGGCGAGCCCTGGAGAGCAGCCACGTGTGGGCAGAGCCCTGGCCTCAGGCTACTGCCTCCTGCCCAACATACCCGCTGGCTCCTGGTCAAGGACTGGTCCCGTGGAGACCCCTCAGGCACGTCCTCAGCTTCCCCAGGTGCTACCTGTCCTTCAAGCCATTCCTGCCCATGCTGGCCTCACCGGTGCTGGTGCTGAGGCATTTCCTGCCCCCTGCTGCCCTCGGTACCTCCCTCCTGACGCCCCCACCCATCGCACTCTGAGCTCCGCCTTCTCTGGAAGCTTCTTGCTGAGAGGCGGCAGAGGGAAGGTCCCAGCTGACTTCTGCACATTTGGCAGAGCCTTCACTGTCCACCTGGACAGCCCGCTGGGTGCCACCATGTTTCTCCCATAGGGTCATCGTGCCCCTGAGGACAGGGCCACCTCCCGGCAAACTTGTGCAACGAGTGTTTACCGAGTACGGACTGCAGGCACCCTAGGAACAGCTTCCCGCAGGGTCCTGCACCAGCACGAGGTCCCCCAGGCAGGGGGAGTGCTGGGTGCCCACAGCGGGACAAGGCCACATGGAAGGAGAAGGTGGGGTCCCAAGAGGCGGAGAGCTTGTTGTGAGTGCCCCAGGCTGCAGCAGAGTGAGCTGGGGGCAGGGCGGGCAGGGACCAGGTCACGTCACAGGGTGTCAGGGCACCAGCCTGAGGGGAGGACAAGTGGGCATGCAGTCGAAGTACACGCAGAGAGCTACATGTGGGCCGGGAGCAGAGACTGGGTGGGGCAGCCTAGACCTTGGACAGGTCTAGGCACTGGGAGGGAGGCAAGATTGCGGCCTGCTCGGGGTGACACTTGAGGTCCTGGGCCCCTTTCTCTGTGGCCCACTCTGGCCAAAGGAGCATCCAGCAGCCTTCCAGGGCCCTAGGCATCAGGGCCTATCCAACCCCACGGCCAGCAGGTGTTGGTCTGGCGGACAATTGGCCAGGCCCTGGCAACCATGGGGGGCTTGGGGCAAGAAGAGCCCGAGAGGCCAGAACCTGGTCAGCATTTAATAAAGACAGAACTCAGAGACAACAGCAAGGACGTGACAGGCCAGCAGGCCGGCGGAGCTCAGGTCACGTACTGGGACAGCTCCATCACGTCCGCCAGGAAGCTCAGGTAGAACTTGCGGCATACGGAGTCCTGGTCCTCCCTGAGGGTCTCAAAGCCTGTGAGAGACCCAGGTCTGACCACACAATGACCCCGGGTCTGGTCACAGCAGGCCCCAGGTGTAGACACACAGGGACTCCTGGTTGGGCCATGTAGGGACCCCAGGTCTGGCCACGCAGGGACCCTGGGTCTGACCACACATAGACCTCGGGTCTGGCTGCATAGGGACCCGATCCATGCATAGACTCGCCAAGCTAGGTCCTAAGAGGGGCTGTGGGGCCACAGTGCACCTGGGAGCCCCAGATGACGGGGGGTGGGTCCATGCCCTAGCCAGGAGCAGCATCAGAGGGAGCATGACTTGCAGGAGCACAGTGTCCACCTTAGGAGGCTGGCTGGGAGACGCAGCCCCGTGAGTGTCGGGAGTAAGACCCCTCAGCCACCTAGCCCAGCTCAGGTCCCAGCTTACTTTTCTGGAGGATTTTCACATCGCCCTTCTTCAGGTAGAAGCAGAGGTCAGTGAAGTAATCTTGCAGCATTCCCCCTGGAGTGGCAGGGAGGGCGAGGGTGCTGGAGGGAACCCTGTGCCCACTGGGGGAGGCAGCCAAGCTCAGGATGGGCAGAGAGCCAGTGCCTGGCCACCGATCC